AGGCTACTGATGATTACCGTCAAAGATTTACTCTAGGTATGGGCGATTTCTTCTGGTTCAATTCTCCCAAGTGTGTTATCTGTCAGCTACAGATAAAGGCGTTCCCTGTTCCCTCAATTCTCAAATGCTCAGGGCTGCCGTTGAGGGTGGAGTCGCTGCTTTGTTTTGAGTAAAGAGTTCCACACTCCTGGCATCCACAGGACTCCTCACTGGGGTACTAGGTGCACCTGCTCTGCCTGAAGGCTTTTCATATCATGCCTTGTTCCTGCCTTTCTCTCTCTTCTCTTGCTGTCAGGGCAGAGGTGCTGCCTCTGTGTCCCTTGCAGGCTCGGAAACCCACTTGTGGTTTGATAGTTGGCCCTTTTTCTACTAATTGATGACCTACTGTGGTCTAAGCTAGATGCCTGGGGCAGGGGACTGACATGCTTTGAGTCCCTTTGTATATTGCTGGCAGGCTTCCCCACTTCTATTAGAAGTTTCTGGTTTGAGGAAGATTAAGAATCCCTCTTCCGGGCTGGAAGTGTTTCCCCTCAAAATAGGGCCAAATGAAGGTGATTCCCCTCAAAATAGGGCTGGGATTTGAGGCTGCAGGTGGCAGTTCAGAGACTGGTCTTCCTTGGTTCTCAAGCATGTCCCAGGAGTTGCCCCAGCAGGACCTAGAGTTGAGGACATGGGGTGCTTAACCCTTGTCCTGTTTCGCTTTCCACCTCCCTTGGGGTGACCAAGGCCTATCCTCCCCAGGGCTGTTTCCCTCACCCCCCGTTTCTGGGAGCCCGACTGAGAGCTGACATCAGGGAACGCCCCTGTGTGCAGACGGCTTCCTTGAACTGGAATTATTTATTTATGGGCTGTTGCCAAGAAGCCATCCAGACTCACTGGTCCCACTGACAGGGGATAGAGTGGTTTTCCATCTGTTCACTCAAAAACTCATTTCCACCCAAATGAGGATATTTAATCAGAAGTCTTTCCTCTCTGTCTCTGCTATTCCCAAATCTCAGATCTTCCTTCAAATGCAACTGGAGGAAGAGGATGCCGGAAACGGGGAAAACTCTTTAAGCAAGAAGCTTCCTCCCTAAAGGGGCTGGAGGCTGAGGGGATTGGGTTACCTGCTCAGGATGAAGTGACCCACTCCGTAGGGTGACTCAGTGGCCATTTGTCTGTTCTACTGACGGAGATGTGCTTGGCCTGGGGCCGCATGACCTGACCCCATGGGTGCTCTTCCTCTATTAGGGAGTCTTCTTAGCCAAAGTGGTGTGAAGCAGAGCCGGGCAGAAGCCCTGGGGATGGTGCTGTCTGCAAGGCCACCCTCTGCACTCCTGTACAGACCTGAGGAAAGCGACTCACATGCATGAACACCCCCTGAGGAAATCCCAAGTGTCTGGGAAGCCTCTTCTCCCTTTTCAGAGAACAATAGGGGCCAAGTCTCGCCTTGTTGAATAAAGGGAAAACCAGGCTTTGGGTTAACAGCTTTTAAATACTGTGTGCCCGGCTCGGAGACACAGGAGTGGCACAGAATCTCTGCCTCAAAGCAGTTCACACCCCAACTGGGGAAGCCAAAAAAGGAAGTGGGACATTACTCCAAAGAAATTATTAGGATGGTGATGATAGATGCACAGGCATTGGAGGGAGGGGCTTCTGATCCAGACATGAAGAATGAGACTGAATTGTCTCCAGGTTGGGTTTTTGGGGTTTTTTTTAACCTACAGGGTTCTCAATCCCTGAAAAATGCCATCCAGTCAAACACTCAAACCAAAAATATATGTCCTCACCTCTCCCTCGTGTTCCAGATGCAATCTTATCTCCTTTGAGAATGCTCTTGCCAAGGTCACTGACGACATTCATGTGGCCAAGTCCAACGGGCACAGCAGTAATTCAACAGTTGGTGCTCCTTCTCAAAAAACTGCCATCTCCCCTCGTGGCTTTGAGGACTCCCTACACGTCAGGTTCTTGTGCAGGTTTCTCTTCGTCTTCACCTCTCATTGCTGGAGCAATGCAGGACTCTGTCTGAGGCAGTCTTCTTTATCTATACGCCCTTCCTAGGTGAGTCTTACCCAGTCACCATTTTTGAATAATATCTGTATTTGATGACTCCCAAACACCCCACCTCAAGCCAGTCTCTTCCCTGAGCTCTAGGATTGGATATCTAACAGCCTTCTCGACATCCTACTTGGTTAATTGGATCCCCTAACTTAAAATATCCACAGTAGAACTCTTAGTTTTCTTCTTTTGATAGCTTCTTCCCCATTTCTCTACACTTCAGAAAAAATGGCACCACCACCACCAGCTGTTCAAGGAGAAAAATCTTAGCATTATCCTTGAATCCTCTCCTTCACCCCTCCACACCATCTTCAAATTCTATCTCCAAAATACATGTCAAATTGCTCCATGTTCTTCCATCTCTAGTGCTACCAACCTGGTCTTCTATCTCCTGCTTGGCTGACCATGAACAATGCAGCTGGCCGGTGTTTTGATGGCTCTGTGGAATCTGCCTCCAACAGGCCCAGGGTCAGAAGTGGAAGGTTCCTGAGGGGCAACCATACCTGAGCTGCTGCCTTCTTCCCCGACTCAACTCCTCACACTCCAGAGGGTATGAAGTTACCTATGCCCAAGGCATCTTGGGCCTCTTAGGCCTGTGTGAGTGTGTGACAGTGTGGGTGCACGCAAGCCAACATATGAGTGCATTGAGAGTATATGTGATAGCATGCACGTGTGAGAATGTGGTGCGAGTATGTGCAACTGTGTGTGTGTGTGTAGGAGGTTGTTCCACATTCCCATTCTCCCAACACTTCTCCGAACTGACTTAGTCAGGGAATTGGCCAAGGATCCCATGGAGTGGATTGTTCTTTGCCAGGCAGTGATGCCAGAGGTGGCCCCAGCTGACTTCTCAGACAGGATATCAGGCCCATCCTCATTCCCTGGCCTTCTATCCTGGCTTTGGAAAGATTTCTGAACACAGTATTCTGGGCAGCTCCTCTCAGAGCAGAGCATGACACTAAATTATGATTCTCAGTATGGAGGTATTTTCCTCTGTGTGAGAAATTCTTCTCCAGTTTCCTGATAACCACATGGTGCTAGGGCACCCATGGCTGTTGTTCACGCGCTCCTGATGCCTCAGTAAGAGAACAAGTAAAGCTCTAGGCTGTGCCAGCAGCCCTTTCTGACCACCCTGGCACCCATGGCCTATTTGCCCAGGGCTGCCTGGACTCTTCCTCCATGGACCCTGGTGAGGGTGGGTGAGGCAGAGAGGCAGAGCGTTTAAGAAGGCAGTCTGGAGCCCCATGGGTCAGCTCTGTGTCTAGCCTCTTCCTAGTCTGTGACCTGGAAAACTTCTTTACCTTGTTAAGATTCCACTTCCACAGCGGTAAACTGAGAATGCTACACGTACTTACCTATTTCAGAGGACTGAAACGCGGATGAGAAAAGAGAATGTATTTAAGTGTGTGGGCCAATGCATCGGCCCCTCTAGTGGAGGGTAGATGAGCTGGCCTCCAGCTGGCCCATGGGGCCAGGTTTAGGCAGCTGCCTCCAGCATGGAGAAGGCACACCCAGCTTGGAAGGTCCTTGAACCCCATTGTTGAAGGCCTTTGTAGTTCCCTCTACGCCCCAGAGGCCTAGTAGGCCCAAAGTGACAGCAGAGAGAAGGGAACCAAGCAGATGCCCTTTCCCTTCCTTCTCTTCCTGGATGAGGCTCAGATGGCAGGGCTCACATAGGCCTTGACAACCTCCTCTGGGAGGGCTGCCCTCTGTTCTGATGAGGGTGCACAGGGCAGGCACACACATCTCCTCAATAATCACCCACTTGGGGAACTCCTCAGCTTTGGCTGTCTGTCCCCATGGCAGTACCTAATGCTGAGCTTGGGTCTCCCAGAGAAATAGAAGGAGAGTGTTTAGGACCCTCAAAGGGGACTCCACCTTCTTTGGCTAGAAGGCAGGTCAACAACTGGGCATGGTTCTTAGTCACAAGGACTCTCTAGAGCTGCATACAGTGGGAACCTCCTCCCCCCCGCCCCCCATGTTGGGAACAGGGCCGGGATTGGGTCACAGGAAGAGAAGAAGGGATTTAGGGATTTTTAAGGAATCTTCTGACTATTGCTTTAAATGAAAGGATCTTTAAAAGCCATACTAATCATTTCTTTGAATGTTGTCTTGTAACGACCAGGTATGTGCACTGAGGGGTCAGAGACTCATAGCTGCAGGATACCCAGAATGTGCCAGGCCATCAATGGCAGAGAGGCATGACCACCAGTCTGGGAGCACAGGGCAGACCTGTGGGGGATGGCCAGGCCCAGAAGGCTAATATTCACCACTTGGGACACCTCCTGAGCCTGACCCCTCCTTCCTGTTTAGCTCCTCCAACTCCTCTCACCTCTTCCCACGGCCAGAGCTCCTGGGTGTTCCCTCCTCCAGCCCCACTTCCTTAGATTCCTTCACCTTCTGTCACAGAACCACAGGGCTGTGCTTCAAGCCATGAGGATAGGTAGGTGGCAGAGCCATGCTTAGCCATTTTCTTTCCCACGAAGGGGACAAGTCCTCTTCTGTGGCTGACACAAATATTTGCAGAACGAATGAATGAATGACGTGCCGGCTGGTCCATGGCTCTATTCTCACCAGTGGTGTCCAGACCCGGAAGTGCAGCTCAGACAGCCCCGGTTGTGGGTCATGGGATGCAGTAAGTGATATGAGCCCCACCTGCTGGAGTGAGTCAGCCTGGGCCCATGAAGGGTGGAGGATGGGACTAGAAAATTCTCTGGAAAATGCACTGCTTTTGGAAAGACACACGAAAAGGCTCTCAACTGCACAGCAGTCCCTGACAGCATGTCGAAATAAGGTTACCCGGCTCTGCAGCAGGTTTTTTTTTTTTTTTTGTAGGGATCGTTTTATTCTTCTGATGCCTACGCAGTACGTGCAGTAGTCACCCTCTGTTACCGGTGAAGAAATGAGGCACAGAGAGGTTAACTGACTCAAGGTCACACAGGCAGGGGGCAATAGTGGCTACATCGCCACAGCCATGCTATACTGCCTCTTGGTGCTGAGGACACTTAAAGATGGAGATGAAAGAATGAACCAGGAAGGGGTTTGAACGTGGGTTGGCAAAGAGGGTCTGAGTCTGCGAAACCTGCATTTGCTGGCTTGTCAAATGGTGGTAGCTGGGAGACCAGGAGACATGGGTTTTAGTCCCAGCTCGCCATTTTCTACATTATCAGTGGCTTTCCCATTCCTGAGCCGCTTCTGAATAATGGGCGGTGCCAGCAACCACTTCACAGGGTGGTGCTGAGAGAGGATTCCAAAGTCTAACAGAGGCGGGAGTGGTGAGGTTGGAAGGAAGGCCAAGGGTTCAGGCCAACAAGAGGCGTAAATGGAGAAGTGAATATTGAGGAACACAAGACCCCAGGGCTGGTGGAGACAGAAACAAACAAGTCCCTCAGGGATCCCTGCCCAACTGCTCTGGGTGGAAGCTCAGTATGAAGCAGCAACACAGCCCCAGGGACAGAAACCTGGCTCTTGTGAATACCCAGGTCCCATCCACGCGGGAGTATGTTTCTTTGGTTTTATTATTACAAACACACCAGGGCTCTGCCACACCTGGGAAATCCTGGGCTCTGAGGGCTCTCCCTACCCTCTCTTTTCTACCTGGACAGGCCACACAGGAGTGTCCAAGCCACGTGGAGGTGCGAGACATGCTTGAAAGAACAGTTCAACTCATAGCTTATAATGATGCCATTTCTCCAGCTGGGAAAGAGCTTTACAAAACCCGTGCCAGGACTCCCCGTCATGCCAGCTTGCTTGATTCATGTTTTGTGAGTTCCACTAAACTTCTTTTCCAGAGCACTTGGCACAGGCAGGAGATTCCACATTTGGGACAGGTCCTCTCTGGAAGTGAATGCTAAGCAGCAACATCCAGGTCTCTGCATGCGGTGGGTTAACAGCCATGTTTTAGGAGTCGGGGGAAATACATGTCTCTCTGTCTCCCTCCCCCCCCACCCCCACTCACCCAAGGCTCAGATCTCATTATAGTGTGTGGCCCATGTACATTGAAGTGTGATATTTGGTTTCAAAAACATTCAGTCTCTTTGGCAAACTGAGAGAAATTGGCGGGAGCTACCGAAGTGTATTCTTCCTGCGGTCCTTGCACTAGTGCTTCATCCTCTCTAATAACCGCTGATAGACCGGGGCTGGAAGAGAGAAGTTTGAAAGGTCAAAAAAGATGCAGACTTCCCTTTGTCTGGGATGCTGTAAGAATCATGAGATGAGGTCCAAGCATCCTCCTTCTGCCATACTTTCCTCTATAGCAGGTGCTTTTGGTCTGTGAAATTTCATATTGACTCAGTATCTGAAGTTCTGAACTGTGATTTTCTAGATCTACCCACTTGTAACCATGTCCTCACCACGGGGTCCTGCCAAGTTCCTGTGCAATGTTCCCAGGCTCCATCTTATGGAGAAGGGAAAGGGATATTCCGTCTGGCCCCAAAGGTGAGGCTTGTTTCATTCACCATGACGTTCTTATCTCTATACAGCAGATGGCAGACTTGGGCCTGCTTGGGGGTAAGGCCCAAGGAGCCTACAGAGACTTCAAGTCAGACCAGACTTACCTAGTTTCACAGAGGTCTGGGAAGCCTGAAAGAAAACACAAGGTGTCAGGTTTTCTAGAGAAACTTATACCTGCACCTGCTAATGGCAGTGGCTTTGCCCATTGCCACCCCTACTCATAAAAAATTCTGTGGGTAAAGAAGAAGAAGGTAACTGCTGGGCCCTGGGGAGCGCCTCAGCTGGGCTTGCAGCCCTCAGTGATGTGCAAGCTGCATCACAAGGAGTCTGAGGAGGACATTCTTGAAGCTGAGCTTTCGCTAAGACTACAGCCTAGGGTTTGAGGAGCTGGGAGGGCACAGTGGCTGACTCTCAGGAGCAGCTGCTCAGGGTGAGAACTCTTCTGAAAACTTCTCTGAAGAGGAAATGCAAATGGAACAGGCATATGAAAAAATGTTCAACATCACTTGTCATCAGGGAAATGCAAATCAAAACTACCATGAGACCATCTTACACCAGTGAGAATGGCACATATTAAAAATAGCAACAACAAATGTTGGCGAGGTGTGGAGAAAAAGGAACTCTTCTGCACTGTTGGTGGGAGTGCAAACTGGTCCAACCACTGTGGAAAGCTGTGTGGAGATTTCTGGACCTACTAACATAGAGCTTCCATATGACCCAGCAATTCCACTCCTAGGTATTTACAAGGACACAGAAACATCATTCAAAGAACACCTGCACCCCTATGTTTATAGCAGCAGTTTACAATAGCTAAGCTTTGGAAACAACCAAATGCCAAATAGATGACTGGATCAAGAAGATGTGGTACATATATACATGGAATATTACTCAGCATTCAAAAAAGATAAACACATGCAATTTGCTGCAACAGGATGGCGCTGGAAGGGATATGCTCAGCGAAATAAGCCAAAAAGAAAAGAAAATACCGGATGGTCTCACTCATAGCAGGAATCTAGAAAACTTAAATAATGGACCAGGAAAATGAAAAACTATAAGAAAGTGAAAATCAAATCAACAAAAAACTATGAACCAGAGCACTTTTAGGGGGCGGGGGCGGGAGGGGAGGGATTGGGGTCAGAATGGGGGGCGCAATTGTATGGGGAATATAACAATAAAATTTATTAAAAAAAAAAAAAAAAAAAAGAACTCTTCTTGAGAGGCACTAGAGAGAGCCTTCTGGTCCAAGGAAAAGGGACATATTCCAGCTCTGTGTTCTGGTCTGCCTTCTGCAGGTTCTTCTCTGGAAACTTCTGCAAGGCACCCCATATTCCTAAGGGGCTCTGCCTGATCCCAAGCAGCAAAAGAGCCTGAGTGGGGCTCCTGGGCCCTGGGAAAGTTGGTGAGCAGGAAGAAAAGCACAGAAAAGCCAGAAGTTCTGAGTGGGAGGTGGAAAGGGAGGTCCACACACATAGCTGGCTCAGTACCATGTATCCAGGATCCACACCACTGCTCAGGAGAGCCCACCAGGACCCAAGATGGGAAATGTCATAGAAAATAGAAAAGTGCAGGGCAATCCAGGCCACCATAAGGCAGATTCAGAATCATTTTCCCTTCCTGGATACATGGATTCCAGAATTCTATCTATTCTCACCAGCAGTGGCTTTCCCATGGACTGAGCTTCATAGGCCTTAGTTTAAAGGCCTGGGCTTTTGCCCAAAAAGGAAGCAGGAGCTTCCAGGCTTCTTTTCTCTGAACACCACACAGGTTACAGCTAAGGATATCCTAAAGGGAGTAGGGAGAAGTTTAGAGAGAGCTTTGGGAGAACAGTCAAGGAAGACAAAGGTTCAGGAAGCCCCTGCCCCGGACCTAAGCAGAAGACCTCCCCAGCTGCTTAGGCCAGAGGCAAGCCTGGCATGCATCTTACCCTGGAAAATGCTGATGCCTGTTTGAAGATTTCAAACGCAGAGTCTGCAAGTTCATCCCCTCGTTCCTGAGGTCTGTTGGCTGGAGAGGAAAGAAAAAGCAGCTTGGGTGAGAGAGAAAATATTAGCATGCCTTCACAAAAACATGACTGAGGGCACTGTGGGACTTTCTGGCTCACATTTTCAGTGAATTTTTCTTTTATAACTCTTCTTAACTCATGGTGGAATTTGACCCATGGGGACAGAGCTCAAAGAATGGTGAATACACAAGAAAGGACAGAAGCTAGACTCAAGCTGAATTTCATGGTAGGCAAAGAGAGCTTACAAGAGGTGAGATACTGTAAGAGGGGTGCTTTGAACCATGTCCACAGTATCCACATGTAACAAACAACTGGGCTATGTCTGAGCAGAGCTGCAGGCGATCCAGTAAGGGGTAATGTGTGCTGGAACGCCGTGTCATTGTGCATTTGAAACCAAGTTCCTACTTTGCTTCAACCAGCCACAATGATGCCGGCCATGGGGCTCCATAAGAGTGTCACATATTATTTTTATCTCTGCTAAGGGCAACTTTTCTATCATGCCCTAGAGGCCACACATTGAGAAGGTAATACCTTCTAGAGGCAGACTCAGTGGAAGGTAATAGCTGCAGGACTTTACCTGGTGGCTGCAGAACACTGGAGATAGCATGGACCACGCCATTAGTGGCCATGATATCAACCTCAGCGACAGGCTCCTTATTGACACACACTGCATTGTTTTTCTAGGAGAAAAAGACAGAAGAATTGCTGATTATAGTGCATATTTATTGTATTCATTCAGTGAATGTTTACTGGCATTTCTAGATGCCATGCCAGATCCTGTGCTAAGTGTTGGGGACACTCTGGGGAATAGAACAGTCCTTGCCTGCTGCAGACCTTCATTCTGGGGATTTATTCTTGTTCCTTGCGTAGACGACACAGCCTACTATAATTCACAAAATCCTCTTCTGTGTTATTTACTTAGTCCTCCCAAAAGTGTGTTATGGTGGCAGATAATGTCCCACTTAACAGAAAACTGAGACTCAGGAGAGGCCACTGGCCTTAGCAGGTGTGACATCTGGGAACTGAGGCCAGCCTCAGGTGCTGGTGACAGGCTCTTTCTACTTCTCAATGCCCCATCTCAAATTTCCTTACCCATCCAGGGTGAATCTATCTCAGGCTTACCTGAATGACCCATGTGACAGATCCCAGGGTGCAGGGAGAACTGAAGCCTGTGACAGACAGGACCCCAATACCCAAATCTAGGAGCTAGAAAATTCTTAGGGGACATGACAATGTCAAACAAGTTATTCATGTCTCTGACTTCCCACACTCAAGAGAAACCAGTGAGCAAAGGCATGACTGAAGGTCAGGCCAGAGCAGTAGGGAGCAGAAACCGAGCCACAGACTGCTAGAGTGGCCCCAACCCAGGGGCAGTCAGTGGCCTTGGCTGGAGCAGCCAGGGTGGCAATGGAAGCTGTCTATTCTTCCTCTCAAGGTAGAGACCCTCTGAACCAGCTCCATAGTAGAACCAGTATCATTAACTTGCAGAAAAAAACACCTCTTGGGGTGACCTGGCTCAGGGTGTAGCTCAGTGAGTCCCTTGTGTGGGGGGGTGGTAAGAAGAGGGTTGGGGATTGATCTCTCAAAACACATGAGTAATTGCCTATCATCTCCTTAAGGGAAGAAAATGCTAATAGCTTCTCTCGGATGCCAAACAGATGCTTTATTCCTCCACAGATCTGGAGGACCTTACTCATGTCTAACTGCAATCTCTCTTGAATTCCCTGAAAGCACTTTTCTCTCTTTCTTTGGACAAAATACAATCAGAGATTCAAAATGCATCTCTGAGGCTGTGTGTGTGTGTGTTTGTGTGTGTTTTGAGTGTTGTGCAGGGGAAGGCTGTGCCCTGGAAACCTGGTGGTAGGACACAGCCAGCCTTTTTATTTTCAGATGCACTCACTGAGCTGACTTCCAGCTTGTCGCCTTGGAGAGACTTCAGCCGCACCAGGGCCCCAATGCCTCCACTGACCAGGATTTCGTCACCAATGTGGTATTTCAGAATATTGGCAAGTTCTTTGGCATTGCCTGCGGATTTGTGAGAAACATGGAGAGTGAATTAATGCAAAGGTTGGTGATTGGTATGGTCAAGGAAAGCCTCCAGAACATGCAAATGGGCACCCCTAAGATGGAGAACTCTCTGTCCAGGAAATAGCGCTCACTGAGCACCCACTGGATGCTCAGCCCTTTGACCCACCAACTGCCTACCAGTCTGGGATACAAGCACATGCCTGTAGCCACGGATCTCCCCTGCAGTCAGTGGGCTGCTGAGTGAAGTATGAGAGCCCTGTGATGCTGAGAAGGAGTTAATCCATACTGCTTCGTGAGTCTGACTCATGTTCCATGAACTAAATATTTGCTTGGAAAGCCAGGGACCTTTCCAGCCCCGGCATCTGGGACATTTCATCATCAGCATGGCTCCCGACAGTTATAACAGTCGTGAAATATTTACACATTCTACCCTCAAATGCATATTCTGAGACGGCTGTTTCCTGAAGGGAGGACTTGAAAGAGTCAACAGCTGTACTCTGGAGGAGCCCTGGAGCCGATGAGATCAGGGCTGAGGGGGGCATCCCCTCCGCAGCATCCCTCCCCCGCAAGTCTCAGCATTCTTTCCAGCCCACAGCAGCCTCTCCACCAACTGGGGAAAGCTTGCGATTACTCACAAAGGTGCACAGGCATTTCCCAAATTAAGTGTAGGAGGCACTTCTCAAAGCTGCCAGCTGCCTTCTCCTCTCTGTCGAGGCAGCCCCTGATACTCACATTACCAGCCAAATGGCTGGATTTCCCCAAGGCTTGTGGATGGTTATTTCTAGCATCTTGAAACTGAGGATGAAGGAAGTTTTAAAGCATTCTGGAGAGTTCATTAGGTTACTGACAAGCCCACGTTAGTGCCATGGAATGGGGACACCAGGTACCTAAGGATTTCTAAACACCCACAACCTGGAGCTGAGAGGAGTTCCCCTTCCACAAAAATATGGCCTGGAGGCACTGAGACTGGCCAGGCTTTGGGTGGTGTGAAGGGCCTTCTTCTGAGGTCCCTATCACCTGGGTGCCAGGAGCGCTGGGGGAGGCAGGGTTTGGGAAGCTTTGGCCATGCCCCTCCTCTACTCCCACATAATTGAAAATGAAAGGCTAGCCGAGCAGGCCCAGGCCACCTGGGGAATATTCCATTCCTGTTGGACAGGGAGAGGATGGAAAGTTTATGTTCCAAATGAACTTCTCCCCTCTTCTCAGGAACATACGTCAGCATCAGAGACATAGGCATTTGGGCAGCAGTGAAGAAAATTAAACAGGACACAAATTTGGCTCACAGCTGCCAGCGGCCTGAATGCTCTATGCTCCTGCATCAGAGTGGGAAGGGAGCTGTCCCTGATGTGGGGCCCTATCAAGGTCCTTCCTCCTTCTCCTCAGACTCAGTTTTCTGTGAGAGGTGGAAGTGTCTCTTATGGGCATCATCAGAGTTGAACACTGAACTCCATCCTGCCTCCCCATCATCTTGGTCATCGCTGACAAGGATGCTCTGAGCTCATTTATTCCTCACAACACACTGAGCAAGGTACTCTTACCACTCCTTTTTCTAGTGAGGAAACTGAGATTCAGTGAGCTGAAGCAACTGGCTAGGGGCCACTCAAGTGGTAAATGCTAGAGCTGGGATGTAAACCAGCTTTTGGGTAACCTGGGAGTCCAAACTCTTAACCACGAGGAGGCCTCAACTACTTGTCTCAGGGCCTGACCAGCTTCTTGGTAAAGCTTTTATCCCGGGACACCTGATGCAGCAAAAGGCTTCTTTATCAGCCCCTCAGCGAAGGGGTTGGTGGTTCTCCACGCTCAGTTCCTCTCTACTTCTTTCTGCCTGGTTGGTGCCCAGGGAAGCTGACTGCTGTAAACGGCATCATGCAGGCCCCCTGCCCTCCTGTAATCAGCAGACAGGAGCCTGGTCAGCAACGGGTACATGGCAGGAGAGGGAGGCTGAGGGCATGCCGGCCTCCTTGCCAGGACCTGACAGCAGCTGCATCTGGCTCTGGCCGCTGCCCTTTGCCCCTCCCCAAGGCACCAGCTCTCCCTGGTCCCTGGGTGGCTGCTCGTCCATGGATGTCATCAGGTCTCGCTGGTTCCCTTCACCCTGACCACACCTCTGCAATCTTGCCTTTAAATTCCTTTTCACCAAATCCTTTGTAACATGCAGCTACCTCCTGTGAGGACCAAACCCATGTGGGTACTTTAAGGAAGTGCACATGTGCTTCAGTTGGTCTTTACCCAAGAGTTTGTTCCGTTCTTCTGGCTCCATGGCTTGGAAGGCTTCGTCAGTGGGCGCAAAGACTGTGTAGACCCCTTCCCGGTTGAGCGTTTCCGTCAGCCCTGCAGTCTGGATGGCGGCTACCAGCATGCTACGGATACACAGAAAACGTCATCTGTGGTGGGAGAGGGTCGCCATCTCCCAAGTACCTCCTCACCTCTGGGGCAGGTGGTGCCCGGGTCACTGGGGTTCCCACCCTTGCTGGTTCTCACCCCGTCCCCCTGCACAAAGAGGCAAAGAGGCCAGTCATCTCCCTCCATAAAGGCTAAGCTCAGCTGAATGGCTAGAAGTCAGAGGCTGGGGGGTGGAGGGTGGGGTGGGGACTGGTCAGAGGCATGGCAGACCCAGAGCCTGGCTGAGCCACTGGGCCCTGGGGATGGGACTCTGGGGAGGGCAGGGTGTGGGTGGCCCCCCAGGGAGCTAAACTCAGGGGCAGGAAGCATTCAACATGACAGCACCCATGAGCAAGCCAGTTGGCATGGAGAGAGCAGGGCAAGAAAACGAAGTGAGTTGGGAGCCCGAGAAAAGCTGCAGGTGCGTTAAGCAGCCACTGCAGGCAGTGACAGACCCATCACACACTTAGAACCAAGTGCGCTTTGCCTACTTGGGACTTTAGGATAAAAGTATGATGTTTTCCTTGCACTTCTGTAGTAACAATGCAATCCCCATTCCCTGTTCCCTCTGGATGTGAGGCTCACACACCCAGAAAACTTTCTCAACTTGAGCTTTCAAGGTGACCCTCATTCTTTCTACAGCCCAAGCCTGGAAGGTTACGAAAGAGCCACCATGTTACCCTGCAGTCGGGGGAAGCTGACAAACAGCTGAGACCCGGCGTCCTGCCCCAGCATGACCACAGGGTGAGGCGGGGCTGCTTACCTGAAGCGACTGTCGCCTTTCAGGATGTCCATGACGGTCCCCATCGGAGGTGTCAGCACCCGGTCCATGGTGAACAGAGTCCCATACCTCCCCCTCTTGTCGTGGGCAGCGATGCAGCTGTTCTCGATGCACAAGCTCTGTGCGGAAGGGGGGCCAAGAAAGGACAGGTTACCCCCCGACATCAGGGACCTCCTGATTTGTTTGGGGTCTGTGCTGACAACACTTATCCATGAATAAATATTGGGATGGGTCTTTTTTTTAATAATTTTTTTTAAAGATTTGTTTATTTATTTATACAAGCACTGGGTATAGTCAGAAGCATGGGAGGATGAGAGGATTCACCAGAGCCAGAGCGGGGAGCAGAGCAGGCAGAAGGACCAAAGTACACTGCTGAGGGGAGCAGCGGGCGGCAGGAGAGGTCTGCGCGCCATGTGGGACCCTCCTCCGGTGGCCGGGGAGCAGCTGGGAATCGAACCAGCGCTGCAGAGGTTGCGGGCAGCTTCGCAACCCAGTGCTCAGCCGCTGCGCCACCAAGGGAGGCCCCTTGGATGGGTCTTTAAGACTAAAATAAAATAGTGTGTTTTCTCCAGTAAGTGGTGCTCCCTAAAGAAAGCATGGCCATAGAGGCCCCAGTAAAGTCGCACAGAGACACCATGATGAGAATATCCTGTTAGATGCGGGCCCTGTCACCAACAATCAAATAAACAATTCACTGACTATAGCGCTGCTAGTGGGTCCCAGGCAAGGGCCATGTGGTGTTGTGCTTCCTGTTTGATATTCTAAGGTAGCTGTGGGCTTAAAGAGACAGAAGAGATAAGAGAAAAGAGAACCTTTCTGATCAAGGAGGGCCATGCTGCATAGCTTCTTCTCATTTATCTATTTATGTATTGTATTTTTTTTTCCTTTAAAATTTTTTGACAGTATTTGCTTCCCCCCACCCCCTCAGATTGAGTCCCCATAGTTCTCATTTAAACTAAGAATTCAAGACCTCCATGCCTCCTCCCTCTGTCTGTCCCTCTGCATTCAAGGTGGATGCTGCTGATGCTGCCAGGGCACACAGGTGTGCGGGCTCTTCCCAAAGGCGCTTAGGAAAGAAGATTCTAATCCTTATGCAGGACCCTATTTCCGTATCCCCTATATCCGGAGATTAATTCTTTCCTTCCTAGAAACCAATTCTCAGGTAAGTGCCTGCTTATTGTTTGTTTACACTAACATTTCTTAAAGGTGAGCCAAAGAAGGAGCACAAAACAATGAGGACCTAGAACTTACATTGCGATAAACAAAAACTCTAAGTTTTTTGCCACCCAGGGTATCCAGGGTCTGTCCATGGTACAGATATTTGGAGGCCAGCTGATCTTTAATCACATGGTTCAGAAGCAAATTCTTGGTATTGGCATCAACAGGCGGAGCTCCATCTGCAAGAGAAGGCATGGCAGGTCCACAGCATGCTCTGGAGATGAGAGAACGAGACACAAATATAGTGAGAAGCCCCGCCCTCCCCTCCGCGGGTTTGGAAATGGAGGTTGAGAAATCAAGCAAGGCCGCCAATACTCTTGAACATCTGGCATCCTCTGCAAATTAAAAACAAGAAAAGGTGCAGATAACTGAGAGTGTTGGAGCCCTGCCCTGAAGGTGCAGAGCCACACGGGCCGCCTCTGCCCTCGCACGGCTGCACCCTCACTCTGACCTCCTGCTATCACCTTGGCAATAGACCCCGAAAAAAAAAAAATGAGGGAGTGTTCCACTCTCTTGACAGATGCAAATTCTGAAATTCCGAGCACCAGATCCCCAAATGCCTGTTCTGCTCTGCCAAATGAAACAACAGAAGTTTCTGATGAAGTCACATCTGCTTTTAGTTGAGCTGGGTGGAAGCGCTAAGGTTCCACGGGGTGCTGTAAATTGGAGAGAGTGGAGGAGCTGACAGCCGTGAGGCAGCTGCCCCGGAGACAAAGCAACAGGGATGTCTCCCCCATGTTACCTTTGAATACAGAATTCAGGGGGGCCAGGAGTGTCACCCGCTCATTTCCGGAGAGATGAGTGCCAAGGCCGGCTTGTCTGTAAAGGTCAATGGCTGTGGAAACGTCAGACTCCATGGCCAACTCAAATACCGTCTTGGCTACAAGGAACAAGACAGTGGGTTCAAAAGTTAAAAGTGCTGTTTTCATTTATCATTCGTCCACCCAGAGCATGACACATATCAACAGGAATGTCACCTCGTGAGTCAACAACCCTCTGAACGCCGCTGTGGCACAACGGGCTTGTGTCATTGAGGGAACAGTTGCCCAGAAAATCTCACTGGCCTGGGGAGTGAGGTGACGTTCACTTTGCAAAGGTCATCCTCCATGCCCAAGCCTTGGTCAGGGCACTGTCTGACTCTGGGGACACTCTCTGTGTCACAGCTGCTGGAAGGTAGATGTTGCTTGTGACCACAGCCATAGAAAGAATGCTGTTCTGTTTTGGTTTATTTCCTGTGAAATTCCCTCACTCCTGGGCATGGCCCTCCCTGGAATTTCAGAATGGGACTAGAAAGCTGAACGAAACATGCTAAAGTCCACTCAGTCATTTCCCCTAGGTCAATGACATTTGGATGGCTTGGGCACCCCTGAGAAAGGAAATGCTCTGAAGTCAGCAGGGTGCTATGGGTGCCAACCAGAGCAGGCAGATCTGAAAGCCTCTCGACTGGCCACTCCCTCCCAGACACCTCCCATGGCTCCCTACTGCCTCCAAGACAGTGCCTGTAATTTCATGCCTGCAGGTTGAGTCGCCTCACAATCTGACCTCCACCCTCTTGGCACCCAGGCTTTCTCTGCTAGAAGGCTATGTGGTGGGGGTAGGAGGGGAAGAGGTCCTGGTGAGCCATCTCGGATGGTGGCATGGCTTACCTGAGTCAGGGATGAGCAGCTCGTCAACTAAGTGGATCACACCGTTGGTGGCCATGACATCTTTATTGGAGATGATGGCCTTCCCATTGATGGTGAGCTTTTCCCCACTGCAGCCCACCTCTAGCGTAGTGCCCTCCAGGGTCTCCACAGACATCCCTGCGACAATGGCTTCTGCACACATGGCTGTCTTCAGGATGTGATTGTTCAGCAGGTCTGGAGGCCAAACAGGACAGGGGTGGAGTCAGGGCCCATTGCAGGCTGACCTCAGTGGCCAGTTTGGGACCTGCTGGCTATGGCAAGCATTCCACTCTCTCTGATGCTGACCTTCAGACAGGGCTGGGCACCCCAGGGCCTAGATCCTGCTCCTCTCCCACCTCCTGTCAGATCTGGTGGGGCTTCTCTCAGATTGCCTGACTGCATCTCAGCTTAGCCACCTGCCAGCTCTGGGACTCTGGGCAAGACAAGACTCTGAGTTTCAACTGCCTCATCAGATAAGTAGTGATGAGATAAGCACTCATCTTCCCTGGGCTGGTGGAAGGATAACATGACATCCCGAATGTAAGGCGCCCCATACAGTGCCTGACAACAGAGTAAATGCCCAACCAATGTTAGGAGGTCACTTATTAGTACTTGACCTTCAAGGATATGGGAAATGAGTTCACCCTGGGATGTTTCAGCTATTGACCTTTATACAAATGAAAAGATGAAAAGTATAGCAAATGACAGTTTTGAATTATTTCTACATTTTGTTTTTGCTCATTGTACCCAAGGCCCTATCAGCTGCCAGAGTTTCTTTTAGGGGTTGGGGATGGTGATCAGTTAGATCCCTTCCACCCCCACCCATATATCATAAATGCAATACTTGGGCCTCCCCGGTGGCGCAGTGGTTGAGCGCCGGGTTGCAAAGCTGCCCGCAGCCTCTGCAGCGCGGGTTCGATCCCCGGCTGCTCCCCGGCCACGGGAGGAGGGTCCCACATGGCGTGCAGACCTCTCCTGCCGCCTGCTGCTCCCCTCAGCAGTGTGCTTCGGTCCTTCTGCCTGCTCTGCTCCCCGCTCTGCCTCTGGTGAATTCTCTCACCCTCACGCGCTTCTGACTGTACCCAGTGCTTGCATAAATAAAAATAAAAAAATAAAATCTTTAAAAAAAAAAAATAAAAATAAATGCAATACTTATTTACTCATCCAGGTGCTGGGTTAGGGACAGGGTAGGGGTTGGGGTAGCACCAGAGGTAGCTGGAGGAACAGTTGGGACGTGCCCCCAGCCCCACCAGGCAGAGCAGGTTCCTGACTGCTGCTCCCCACAGCCCTTTGTCTTGCATTCTCACCAGAGGCAAGTTTCAATTTGTCCAGAGTGTGGGAACCAAAACCGCACTGTCACAGACAAGAGGAAGCTTGGAGGCCCCGCAGCAGTACAGGCTCCTAGAGAAGTGGCAAGAGCTTTGAAAGCGAGTGCTGGCTGGATTTGGCCAGTGGGGGAAAGAAAGGACTGGACACTGGAGTCTTTTCTCTCAAGTCCTTTCTTCCTCTCGGAGAAGGAAACTGGAGGCCAAAGTGGAGTAGGGCGATCTGCCAGGGTCACTCCAAGGGTGAGCAGGCCCAGGGCTGACAGTGAGTCTTTAAAGGGGCACACTAGCCCCACTGCTTCGGGCTAGTCTGTCAGCTCACTAGAGACAGCAGGAGACGGTGGGTGGTGGACTCCTGGCCCTTTGACTGCTGGCGACAGCCCCGAACAGAGGGCCTTGGAGTTGAAGTGGAGGGTACGGGGACCAGCTTCCCCTCCTATCCTTGCTCCCACTTGCTCCTGTCCTCAGCTCCAGTAATAATCAAGGCAGCACTTAACTTAGTGGGTCACTGAGGAAGACCCAGCAAAAGGAAACAAGAGATGATTGTAACTGGCTTTTAACTGTAATTTTGGATGAGGCCCCTGGCCAGACAGAGCAAGAGTGCAAGGGTCAGCCAGATGATTCCACTTCTAGGATGCCAGGACCTGCTTTGCTCTCCCTATACTTGGCCTGTTATACTTTCTGAGCAGCCAAGGCCTGCTCTGGACCACCAACTCTGCCTCCCTCCTCAGCGCAAGTGTGTCCCCACACAAACATTGCTGGATTCCACGCCCGCTCATGTGAACAGGGTTCTGCTCTGGCCGCTGCATCAGGGCTGGGGGTAAGGGGATGGAAGGTGGGTGGCAGTCTGTCTGGATCACTGCAGGTATTGGGCTCAGCCTGGCCACTCGTATGAGGCGCCCGCAGGAGCTGAGGGTGCTCACCTCGCAGGGCCTCCGGGTCACCCAGAATCCGGTTCAAGGTCTCAGCAGGGATCTTCTCAAAGGCCTCATTTGTGGGGGCCAAGAGTGTGAAGGGGCCATCCCCTTCGAGCTGGGTGTTGAGCCCTGATGCAGCCACAGCAGCCTGTTGGGAGGGGAGAGGACAAGATGGAGCTTTCCCCAAAAACTCTGGGGCTCCCTGCAGACAAGATGCATATACAACCTCGCCAATACTCCTTTGGGGGAGCTCCATGCTTTTGTAGAAGCCTGAGATGAATAGAAAAACAGAACCAAAGCTCATTCTCCCCATGTCCTCCCAAGGCCTTGCCAGTACTGAGCTCCAGCCACAGGGCCATCTCCCTGTTACCTCTGGTGCCCTACTGCTTCCCACCTCCGGGCTTTGCCTCTGCCATTCCCTCTGCCTTGAACCCTGTTTCCCTTGCTCCCGTTCCTTCTTTGGGTCTTGGCGAAAATATCCTTTCTCTCTCTAAGGTGGTCAACTTGAGATTGACCCTCTAGCCCATCCCACCCCCAGAAGAAATGCTGTCCTTCTCTCATAGTCATTAGTTACCGGGTAAAAATGATGTGACTGAGCCCATGAGATCACATAACCACCTTCTACAGAGCAGCCAGAATATGGTCTAAAAGCCTGAACAGCTTCCTGCCATGCTTAGGATGGAGGCGGACTCTGGGCCTGCTGGCAAGAAGCTGGTTCCTTCTGGCTCCTTAGTGATCTTGGCTCTGGCCCGGCTCGTCAACTTGTGGATCCTGACCTCAGCCTTTATTTTTGCTCTCTCTTCTACTGGGAGTGCTTCATCCTTGCGTTTTGTGTAACTGGCCTCATGCTCAGGCCTCAGCTCAATAGCCATTCTTTCCAGAGAGCCCTGCCCTGCCAGGCAATCCTGACTGGCCTCCCCCCAGGAAGGACCCACCACTTACTGATCTCATGCTTGGCATAACCTGAGGCTACCTGGTCTGCTTCTTGTCTGTCTCTCCAGAAGGATGTAACAGGACATTCAGGGCAGACCTTTGCCTGTCTCGTTCCCCTCTCTACCCCATCATAATGCCTGGCACTTAGTAAGTATGGGATTAGCAGAAGCCAAGATGGGCATTAGGAAGGGTCAAAGGGGAAGGAGGGAGAAGGAAGACTTGCCAAGCCAAAATAGTAAGATGAGCTATTCAGTGGGGAGCAACTGCTATTAATGGAAACACACCACCAACTCTGTGGGAACATCCCTCTCTGCCAGACCCAGAAAGAAAGCAGGGGGGAGAGCTTAGAAACCCAAGGTCCCATGAGCCCTCCACAGCACTCCCTGAGGCCATATCAATTCCAGCAGGGCCCATGGGTGTTTGCCTCTCTTTGTTGGAGATCTCCAGGGGAGGAGCCACCCCACTCCTATTTGGTATCCTTTGTGGACAGGAAGTTCTTCTTGAATCAGGGCAAAAACCCTGACGGGGCAGCCTAAGTCCACTTCCTCCTGAGCAGCCATGGCCACGAGGAAGGCCCTCTTGCCACTCCACATGTACAAGATGCCTACTGGGCAGATGGTGGAAACAGTATCCCTGTGCCCCTTGAGCCGTCACCAGGCAGGTGGGAAGGAGAGCCCCAGACTCCTGTGTCCACTCTGCTGCTGGCCCCTTTGCTGGTCTGGGCTCCAGGGAAGCATGTACAAGGCTGGAGCAGGGGCCCCCTAGTGGGGACAGGTTTAGCCCAGAAGCATCATGCAGCCTG